TTTTTATACCTAAGACGTTTAAAGTTACTGAAATAGAAAAAAATGCACTAAAAAAATATTATTATTTTAAAAAAGTGCAATATTCTATTTACTACCTATTTAATCTAAATAATCTAATCTATCTAAGTCAATGCAGAGTATTAAACTATCAAAAAATGGAAAGAATTCATTTTTTTGTGATCGTGGTGAACAAAAACGTAAAAAAGGTAAATCATTTTCAAGAAAAAAAGCCATATTTTAGATACCACTTGGAATATAACTAGTCTTTGTATTTTTTTTTAAGTTACACTGTAAGGCATTGCAGGCTTATCCATTCTTTACCAGACAGCCTGTATTTAGATAATAATTACTTAGATCTAAAATTTGTCAAAAGATATTCATGGTTTCACGTCTAATAACCTCCAGTTGTTTAATAGGTGCATAATACGTTTCTTCAAAGGTAGTTTTCTACACAATGGTTCAGGACTCCGTAACCTTGTATTATGAATATTACAATTTTTGCTAATCATTGAAATTAATGGGCGTGTTGAGATTGGGTGAACCATTCGCGCGTTACATCCTCTTTTAACTTATGAGTACTCTAAAGTTTATAAATTATTATAGGTTGGAGATAATCGGATAAACAAGAGACACGGTTTATTTACCTTTAACTTGGTGATTTTGAACGGGTTGACTATTAAACAAATATCTGCATTTTTGTGTACTGCACTTGTTTTGATATAAACCGTTTCATGCCACCATCATACTTCGATTCTAATAATCTCAGTACAGAATACTAAACAAACCGACTTCAAAAGTATGCCACCATCATACTTCGATTCTAATAATCTCAGTACAGAATACTAAACAAATCGACTTCAAAAGTACGTGGAATTACATCTATTTGCCAAGTTTTATTGAAATATCCCCTAGTTCGCCACTATACAGGACGACATAAATATAATAAAAATCGGTTCTCACTACTCAAAGTACATTGAGAGAAATACGCCTTGAATTGGAGAATAGCAAAACCATCCATTAAAATAATTGCTTCTTAAGTAAAATTTAGGCGCTATTTATGAAAATGAATGTTCATGCGCGATCAGCCACCCTTAGAGGTGGATGATTTTCTTAAAAATGGAATGGGACCACTTTGGAGGTAACCTCTTTCCAACAAAAAAAGAATCCTGAAAATCGGTTCACAAATACCGGAGTTATCACGTAACATACATACAAAAAAACAGTCGACTTGAGAACCTCCTCCTTTTTTTGAAGTCGGTTAAAAAGCATATGCGAAATATTTATATGACTTGAGTATCTTTAATATAATTGCTTGCATCCATTGAATAAGTTTTTTGTTTATCGAATACGACGTGTATTTAATAAACAATTCATTATGTATGAGATGTACAAGACCTGCTATGATCCATTTTAAAGATAATTGAAATCCGCAGGGAGGCATAGCGTATTTAGAAGCTGTGGACTCTTTGATGTCGGGTTTATGCATGCCATTGATTTGTGCCCTCGAGAGTTTCGGCTTCTTATATGCATATCGGAGCCATGACTTTGTCTCGGATATGCACATTGCCACGGAGGAAAATATGTGCGCATCACGACTTGGTATCCAATGGCAAATTTTACCATTTATTTGCATGGTGGGTAACACGATTATTCTCTGCTTTGCATAATATGACGTTACATTTATGTATACATCATAGATCAATATAGATTAAAGCCGTCACCGCTGCTGATTCAACGGCCTGGCTATAATACAAGCTAATTATGTTTAAAATAATTATATACATATATTGTGACTCGGTACATTGAACTTACTTTTTTATTTTTCAGCTGCTTGTAATCCTCAAAATAGTAGTATTAACAAACTCTGAGATTCCATCCAGATTTATGATTTTGGCCTTAATTCCTGTCATTTGTGTCGTTATATCGGTCCCTTTGCGTGCTTGCCGCAATGCGCTTGTTTTTTTACGGCCAAAACGAAAATAGTGGTGTATGTAAAACTGGATTTCATGACAAATACATAATATCTTAAGCATAATCCTTTGTTTTAATTGTTCATAAACCTGCCAGATATATGGTAATTAAATAAAAAGACCATTGATTGAAAATAAATGTTTATTTTATCAATCATTTAAAAATATTTATAAATATATCTTTGTACAATGCACTTGACATGCGGTACACTGATGTTCGCTGAAATAATAGCCTTTAGTGAGACTCGCCTTAATTTAGATTAGAACAATGAAATTAACGCGTCGTGTTCCAGCCTCCGCAAACAGCCTTGTATACATAAGAGGCGGAGGGCTCGAACTGAAAAACACGCTACTCCAACAACAACGTTGTACGGCAACAGTCACCTTAATTGACAATTAGGCATTCAGTTAACTAACCATTCATAACAAACGTCAAGGCATTAGGAACGCTCGAATCAACTGCAGACGGATAATGTCGATACATCACTACTTTAACCTACAATGCCTATCTCACGATTAAATTAAAATATCACAATATGTACAGATTATTTTCACGACTAAAATAATTAATATCAATATTATTGGCGCGTGACATACAGAATTATCTGAAACTTTATTTTCAAATAGATACCAGCTGCTTAAGAGGGTATTTTTCACTGGGACTCCAGTAATACAACTATACAATAGTTCGATAAATAATGTAGTATGATGTCTCTACAGTGGATTTGTGATCATGATTAACCAGGACTTTATTTACATTTCTTGTTGAATCATAGTACTAAACATTTTCGTAATTTCAGTATTGATTGAATATCTTTGTTTTCATCTTTAAACTAGTATTCGATTTCAACTTAGCTTTAGCAACCACGTAATAATACTATTTCGTTCCGAAACCTGCTCACAATTCGTTCCTTTTATATCGAAGGCACTCCAAAGCACACAATTTTAATAGGCTTCGCCCTTTTCATTTTTTAAAAGAATAAATTATGATCAATTGCCACATCCCCCTTCCACATTTTGATTAGCACTGGATTATTTAAAATTTAGCGAAAGTCAATGGATATATGATCCATATAAAAGACTAAAACGTAACAATTAGTTCTTTAGTCCCATCATATCACAACGTTCGAGACTTTGATATGTCACTGTCGAAACTTTAAAAATGTCTTTTCGTCGGAGGCGCTTAAAAACTTTGGCTGACTGGAGCGTATTAGGGGCGCGTGGCAACGCAGCCCTCGGGTGTCGTTGCCGGTATGACTAGGGATTGTGCGTGCGTCAGGCGCGGCGCGAGGTAGAGCGTCAGAAGCGGCGTAGCGCGGCCGCCGCACCCGCGGTCGCCTTGCGCGTTGGCTGCACCGACAACGGCGCCACTAGCTGCACTTCGCCACCGCCTCCTTCTGCCCCGCCGCCGCCGCTAGTGCCCATCTCCTGTATAAAAAAAACGATCAGTAAAAAGTGGGTCACCAAGTCACTATGAGTCACAGACGTAAATGTAGACATAAATTACACTTACGTTGATATTGTTGCATGAGGCAAGGCGCATCTGCGCGAGTTGTGAAGCAGGCGTTAGGTTCGACTGCGATCCGAACGGTGAAATCATGGAGGACATGGCACGCTTCAGCTTTGACGGTGTCTTATTGAACGATAGCGCCCGACCGACCTGCATGTAATACTGATTAATAAGTTTTCGACCGAAAAATGCATCCAGTTTCGGTTGCTAAACACACGACAGAAGTTGGCACTTTATGTAATATTCATATAAGTGCGAGTCTCCAGATGAATGGGTAAACATTGACTGGATGACACTTTAAATAATGACAACACACCGTCACCATCACTAAATTTTGTTCAGGAATAAATGACATTTAAGCCAAATTAAATTTAAAAACTCGATATGCGATTGAAACATTTTTCAATATCACAACACATTTTTAACAATCGAGTAAATTGTACACAATTCGTAGCTACGAATATCGATCCGACATCATACCATAGTACGATAACGCCTCATAAAGTGGCATTTGATTTTTCATGCTAAAATAAACATTATATTTACAGTACATACAAAATTTGCAAAGTATTTACAATGTAATAAAAAAAAAATTTTCTCGTGTTTTTGGAAGAGTGAAACAAGTAAATAATAAAAACGTTGAATAAATAAATTTGTTAGTGAGGCTAAAGGTTAGAAGTCAGTAAGATGATGATCATAAATGGAATACAGAGAAAGACAATAATGTAGATTACACAGATGTAGGTTACGGAAGAATGTACCCTCACAACCTTAACCTTAGGTATGGCACGCTCACGAGAAAACTGTTAATCACAAATGAGTCGAAGCGAAGCATTAATTCAAACCTCCACTCCTCAGAACCTCCTCTAGTATCTGCAAAGAGGATCTTTAGACATCCATCCCACAATGCTACAATGATGCTTCATTTATTAAAAAGCTTATGTAACTCACTGGTGAAAGCAATGATATCTTTAAATATAAGTTGGTAACACTGATTCCTGTGTAATTACGATGCGACTTATAAATAAGTTCCGAAAACCTGATGAATTGACGATGATCAATGAATAAGACTTCAGATGGTAAGTTATTAATTAAGAGTTTGAAAGAATGTAGAAAGACTTTTGACTGTTATTTACATAAAACGTGAGAGGTGTATCAAAACGCATAATCTACATTGAATTCATTGGGAAAACAGTCAAAGGCAATTCTGTTTTTTGGGTTTGGCCAGAAGGCCAGAAAAACACAGGAAGCAGTGTTTGGATGATAAATTAGTGATGGACGGAAGTCAGCCCGGCGCGGGCGCACACGGGCGAGGAGTGTGGCGTGAGAGCTGAGAGCAGACCTGTGCGAGTAAGTGAGCGCGCAATACCCATGTGTCTAGCAGCCCGGTGGCGGAGTCGGCGCGCAGCCAGCCACTCAGCCCGGCCAGCGCCTCCAGCTACAACACAACCACCGTCCACTACTCGCTCTATATACTCTGTTATACCAACTCTATACGCTCACTACCAACACAATAGATGTACCAATATTATAGTATCTTCGACATTTGATTACGTTTACTCGTTCTTTGAAACTTTGGCCTGTTTTATTACTAATACAAGTAAACAATTTCAGATTATATGTTATAAATTTGAACGTAAACAGATGTCCGAAGCTTTATTCGACTGCATTTGTACAATACCGAAAATTAAGTTATTATAATACCCCAAGATACAACATGTGCAAGTGCTCTTATCTAAAATCTAGTAAAATAACAAATCAATCAACAAATAATTGGAAATAAGTAGGATGAGGTAAAATCATCAATTATTAACTAAAAACCCGATTGATTCTTGAAATTGAAATGAATGTATGATTCAATGTAGACTGATTGTTATTAATCAGTGACGTCAAGATCAAACTACATTCATGCCTTAGTTACACTTATAAGACATAATTAAGTCTTTTGCCATAACATTTCTCTTGACACTTACAAGTTACTTTTATAGTTATTATCTGTTATTTCTAATTCAAGCTAAGCTACATACAAACCTATAAACTATCGATATCATATCATGCTTGATTATTCTGTAAATATATTTTTTGGAATATTTATGTCACACATTTTTTTCATGTAATTTGATTGCTCTTTGTACTTTAATTTATAACTACTTTTTTGTACAATTTAATTGCGCTTTGTTGTTAATAAGAGGTATAGCATCTTTAATGCGTGCCCAGTGCGTTGTCGATGTAGCTCTCGCTACACTAGCCTTTTTATTATCTAAATACAAAAAGCAGTTAAATTACTTATAGCTGCAGTGCCACCGACTTAACTGTGACAGGGCAAAAAAGGAACTAGGAAGGAGCCGCCACTTTAACTGCTAAAATGAACGGTCAATTACTAGCAAATTTGAAAAGATACTAGCGAGATCACTAATATCACAGGTGAGTTGATGGCTCTGTAAGGTAATAAACTAAGATGTGTGTTAATGAAAAGTTCGAAAGAGTACCTTGATTCTGGTGCGAGCTGCGAATTTGGAAACTTTGGAGAGCGTGCTCAGCGCTAAGTCACTTGTGTCGATGTCGAGCTGATGCGATTCTAAGCACGCAAGGAATTTGTCCTACGAAAAACAGTAATAATCTATTTTCGTAACTGTTTCTTAAAAGTTATTTGTGTGTGTTGTAGTTAAGTGATCGTAGGAAATGAAACTATTTTTCCGGATTTAAATCGCATGTATTTGTTTTTCAAACAAACCAACGTTTCAGGCCCTTTACGAGGTCCCATGGTCACAGTTGGCCACGGTTTCGGGCCCTTTACAGGTCCCATGGTCAACGTTTTGGGTCCTTTTTAACGGGTTAAACATAAACAACAAAAAAACAAAATAGTTTCGTTTCCTATGTGTAACAATCGCGAAAACATAAGAACTTGATCGTAGCTAAAAGATGGAAATAGTTTATCTTTTATAACACAAACTTATAAAGTTAGACGTACGTATAGAAATACGTACAAAGTTCAAATTTTCCTAAGGGTGGCCTTTATTAGCAATTAAATATGAATAATGTTTTTTACAATTCTATATTAACAAGAAAACACAATATTAATTTGACTGCCTCAGTGGCCGAACGGTTGCCATGCCGGACTGCCACGCAGAGGTCCCAGGTTCGATTCCCGGGCCGGGAGAAATATTTATATGGCCTACATTTATTTATCTCGTGAGTTTGGGTGTAATTTGTGGTTGTCTATGTGTGTGTCCATAGCACCCGCGACACAGGGTTTCCCTAGTGCGGGGCTATGTTGTGTTAAAAAAAAAATAATTAAATACTACACTTGGAGAATAAAATCAGTTACTCACTGCGTCAGCTTTGCAGACAGTGTTGGCCATCTGCCGACAGAGTTGACGGAGAAAGTGCGACTTGTCTACGGTCTCGTCGGTAATCATAAACGAGTATAGCTTCTCTTTTAGCTCTTGATTGCTCCGGCACATTAGCGCGAATACATTGTGACAATCTAAACAAACAGTATTATTAAACATATTAAGTTTTATTAACTTTAAGATAGGTTATCACTTTGTTAATGATAGTAGCCCAGCGCCGAACGGCAACTATGACAGCGTCCTCAGAACTGGCAAATTACATTGTCAAAATCACAAGGCTTTTACTGAAATGTCGAAAAAAAAAGTCAGTATGTCGAAGCAGTCGCTCGTTGTGGTCACTACTTGACACACAGTACCTCTTGACTATCTACGAATATTACACATTGAAAAGTTCAATAACACTACTTAAAACTACAACAGTCCTTTTCTTTTTACGATACCACACCCCGGACACTCCATACCACGGTCGAAAATTATTTACCTACTACTACTACTACATACAGCAAGGCGGTATCTGCACACGCTGCAAATGTGTGCGTAAAGTGGCAGGGTTACCCATCACTTTCTCGTACTATTTATTGCATTACGTGATCAGAGCGGCAACATAGCGAAAATTCTAATACGAATCTGTTATCTATAATTCTATTATAGAATCCTAATAATTACACATGTTCATTACGTAGGTATTTACATCGATATAATATTATATTTTTCATTAATCCACTAACTAGAACAATATTGAAGATTTATTTAAAAAATATATTAAAAGCACTTAAAATGTTATATTTTGGACCTTTAAATAAAGTAACCAAAGTATTTGAAATTGCGTTTCCAAGTTTATCATTACCTAGTTAATAATTAGGTATATTCACAACGTAATATTTATCGGCAATACAAATTGAAAATTCGAGAACCCTTGTCCAGCTCACGAAGTTATGGCGTCTTATTATATTGACATTATAAATCAGTATTATATATTACTCTGCACTAGAGAAAACAATAATTGAATGAGTCTCAGACATAAGTTTTTTATATAGATTTTAAGACTTTCGTGGTTATTCACTAAATGAAAATCACTAATATCAGGTTTCTTACCACGGTATGACTTCTTTTTATTTTCTACTACTACTCGCACGCTCCATGGTCACGGGTGACTCATGAGTTAACCTGTGGCCATGGAGAGTGCAACCATTCCGAAATATAGGGAACGTAAAAAGAAGTCATACCGTGGTAAGAAACCTGTTTTTGTGATTAGTGATAATCAATAAGTTTCTTCACTTAGTTCGTTTCATCTTTCAAACAATTCACGACCTTTAGAAATAGTAACGTAAAATAATGTTATATATTAACGTATAAATTTCATAATGAATAAATGAAAACTACATTCAAATATCAAAGCCGACTTAGTGCGAAAACGGCTCGCCGACAGCCTTGTTGTCGTTCGGTCAATGTGCGGGGCGTGGTGCGGTATCTAAAGCTAGGGGCGGAGAGTGTCCGTTCTTGTTACTTATTTGTTCTCTGACGATACTATGCTTTACTTTTTATGATAATCGCAAGTGGGTATCGCTAAGACCACTTAATACAGCGATTGCGTTGCCTATGCTGCAGCGCTGCAGCATGATCCAGAACTCTTCATACTTAACCGAATCATTCGATGGGATATTGTTCTTAAATCGAAGATTCCATTTCGAGCTATTCAGAACATTCGTGGTGAACTTTCGATTCGAATACGATATCGGTACGATTAGATTTCATGTTGCTTTTACGAAGTTAGCCGGTAAAAATCCTTTTATGGACATTTTTGAGTCAATAAAGGTTTAAAAAATTTTAACACCTTAGTCTTACTTTTAAATAAATTAATATATTCATAAATACCAGATTTTATTAAAACAAACAATAGAATTTCACACGTACTTTTTGCGTTGAACCAGAAACTTTTGTCTTTTCTTAATACAAAGAATTAAAAAAACAATAAACTTTAGTTTTATTGTAAAAAAACAACCTTTACCAAATACTACATTATACATCGGATCTTTACTTTTGCACTAACCAAAACTTGTTATTTATTATATTCTAATTTTTAACAAGATTATTGTCAGGATGTTTCCCCACCACGACATTCAATTCTTTTTTGCCGGGTCGATGGATCTTTTTCTAAGTGTTCGACCTTGTATTAATAATTATAATAAACTATAAGATTATTATGGCTGTAAATAATGAAAAATTACTTGATTAATTTAAAGATACTATCATTCCAAGTAATCAAAGACGACTAATCATCTCATATTTTCTAGTCTGGGAGCTGCAGCCGCAACAGACCCCATTGCAGTAATTTGCGTGTTCATCACGAATTTATTCTGCACATAAGATCACTGCACTCCACGGCACAATATTAGCTCACACGAGCTTATTTCAAAGACTCTAATTAATAGGCAAGGCACGCAAAAACACTTTTTTTTAAGAATCGATGAACTTAACCAGACCACTCGACAAGTTACCGTTAAATATCGACGAAAACAAGGACGTTTCAAAACTTTTAAGAGTGGCTAGCTTTTGCCAGGCGAGATTTCGGTTATTATGAATTAAAGAAAATCGTACGATATGAAATCGAATCGGTTGACAACTGAGATATCGCGGTTAACTGAGGTTCAAAATCGACCACTGGAACGAGAGCATAAGTCACCTGCTTACCTTGCAATACGAAACACAACAGTGCGGCTTTACTGCAGATACAAGTGTTACGTTCAGCATTAAGTGTATATGTGTAGCTTCAATAAAAAATAAATTTTAATTAAAAATACGTACCTTCAGCTTCCCTAATATCCACGACACGCTTAACGGTGCTGAGCGGCATAAGTGAAATGTGCCGATACGGTTTGCTCGATCCTAACCTCATCGTGCCAGTTCCGTTCGTCGGGCTTTTACTGTTGAAACCCTGCAAACATTATACACATTTTGAAAAGGCCGGAAAAGTTTTGATTAACTCTGCCAATGATGCAGAGTTATAATATAATTACTTTCTTTGATTGACAGGTCTGTTGATGTCGACAAACGCTGTAAACAGCGCTATCGTGGTAAGTCTCTTATTCATGAAATTAAGCATTATTTTCTCAGCAAAAGGTGTGAGAGACAAGATGCATTAATTGTCAATTACAAGATAGTATGATATACTACATGCATGACACATGACAACCAAGCTTAATATTTGCGGATCCTTGTACTCACTTTGGATCGTTTCTTGCAAACTTCCATGGTATCTGTAAATAGGAACAGTACTAGGTGGTCTCCTCTGCCGGAGAGCTCTTTGGACAATTCCACTACTTCACAGCGCGATACGAACGATCGGTGTGATGATACTAGGTGAGCCTGTAATAAAACAATATTGCTATTTTCGGTTATATCAACTGTATACTTCCCAAAACGGTCACGAGTTCCTTATAGTATTCGTTCCGAACCCGGGACTATACAAATCAAGAAAAATGGGACCCACTTGGGATGTCATTTGTGCAATAAGTCCGATTCAAATCCGACAAAATACGAATATCGCTTGTAAATGACTCCTGTGACATTTCGGACCGTCATTTCTCGGATACGGAACTGGTCTACTCTCGATCTCCGTCCGAAACAATTACTGCCAAATAAGCAATACTTGACCAAATGAAAAGACGCGTGATGCGAATGAAGCTTCATACTTTATACCTGTCTTTTCATTTTGTCGAATATTACTTATTTGACAGTAATTGTTTCGGACGGATGTCGGACGGAGATCGAGAGTAGTTCGTAGTGTTGCGAATCGGACGTAGTGCGCAAACGCTCTTAAGGTCGACACATTTCGATTGTGTTCAAGTTACGATGAAGTGACCACCAACCGAAATGTTCTGAAGCGGCTATGCGCTTGGAATAAGGGTCGCAGTAAGCAATTCGATGCGGGAGACTAACGTCTCTTGGTAGAGGTATTAATTCATGGATAAGGTTTGGGACGCCACTAGTAGAGTGTGCAATTTAAAAGTACACTTACCGGACACTGGTCAATATCGTTGTAGATGTCAAACATCTGCAACTGGCCCTCGGTCTTCCGCTTGTCTTCATTGATATGCGACATCACTTCCCGCAGTCCTGCTAATGCTGACACTAGCGCACCGTGATCAGGGTTGTTTTTGTGGGTATGTTTTAAAATATCTGCAATATTTTATTGTTATTTTACATGTCCCAAAAAAATTGCCTACTGTAGAGAATTTTTAAATATTTTGAACAATTTTCTGTACTTCAGTACTACAGAAACACAAGTGACTACTACTCCAGTACATAATTCAGAATACTAAATCTGATAAAATTCCTAAATTGATTCGACGTAAAAGCAAACTCGGCACAGACAGGTATCATCAATTCATATACATCGCACTCCGGGGAATGCCCAACATACAGGTTTTATTATGTTGGTGAAGTGGATGGTACTCAAAATACACGCTTTGACACACGAAATGTGTCAAATCGTTTCTCGACATTAAGCAATGCGAAGACAACTTTTTTATTGATAATGAAAATAGAGACAGTGAGGTATAGAGTCCAAAAAACGATTGGCTAAACTTCACTCGATATAAAAGTCACAAAGTTGCGCAAAATTGTCATTTTTTAGTCATATTTTTCATAATCATTTCATCTACGAAAAATCAAAAAATCAGTTCATTCGGTAGTTATTGGAGATACTTCAATCAAATTTTCTTACAGTAAGAGAACATAAATAAATATGAGATTATTTTACAATATCAGAAAACATTTTATTTCCAAGAGATAAATGTTTAAACGTCGTGCAATGAATTTCTCCTCGTTTATCTCACACGCTTCAAAGTCTACGCAACCAGAGACCAATTCGCCTAAATCGTTTAAGTGATAATTCATATGACTGATAAGCTATACGGCGCTGTATTACCCACTATTTCTAAGCGGGGCCATGAGATTATCTCATTACTCGACATAAGGGGAGAATAAACGTACTCACCATCGAGTAATAAACTGATACTAGGTAATCGCTGCACTGGTCTTATTAACAGTTCCTGTAAACTTTGCCTCCCGCACTCAGGCTTGGTCTGGCAGATTTTCAGGAATGCATGAAATCTGAAAATAAGATAATGAACTTGAGAATGTATGACGACGTTTACGTCTTAATTATCGGGTTTGTTTATTATGAGGCAGCCAGTTTAACTACTTTCAATACATTTTGGGTGTAGTTATTTCGACGTTCATATTAGAACTGTAAGCTTTCGTACTTTGAACACTTAACATAAACTTGTTATAAGCTATGAGGCATGTAAATATGTTGCAAAACATGATATACTGCCCATAATGTTGTACGTATTTGTTTATTTGTACGAGTATACAACACAGACTAGTCATTAATTACACGGAATGTGTTACATGGGTGAGGTGAGTGAATTATATGGGCAGTTCAGACAGTAGTTCGAGTATACATATCTAAATAACAAATATTATAGACAACAAGAAAATTAAGGTTCTAAGGTTAATCTTTCTTCATCTTTTACAAGCGTTGAGAATCGATCGATATCAATAGCAAATCTAACCGCATGTTCGTACGGGTGTAAACAACTATTATATCGGCCGGCATTTAAAGGGTTAATATTTATAGGGTTTCAATATTAATATAATCAAGAAAAATAGTACCGTAATTCCAATCCATGTCTTTTATAGGGCAAGTTGTTTAGGCTAGGTGAAAAAAGAGCTTTCTAAATTACATTGTCTTAAGGTATGTTTACCTGGGATTCTCACGATCGCACTGTTGCAGCATTTCTTTAGTGTTTTCGAAGAAGTTGACAAACGGTGGGTATGCCTTTACCATATCAGGTGTGTACTTGAGCACTAGCCGCCCGATGCTTAGTTCCTCATTCCAGTGCGTTTGTGTGTATCGAAGGTCTTCCAACATTCGCCTGTAGACATTAATTTATATACAATTGTGGAGATTAGACGTGATAGTGTGTCACGATTCGGCTAACCAGTGACCAAGGCCCGACGCCCATTTGCAGGACGGTACGGCAAGGGATCCTTCGGCGTCCCTACATGTTAGCGAACATTGATGGCAAATATGCAGCGCTATTCTTGGGCATTCGACATGCCGTGCCGTCGAAACATCGCTACATTGCTAGCGCCTCTATTCAAATCAATCGAAAAGTTAAGACTGCCGAAGCATCCCGAAGGTTGTCGAGGCGTTCCGGCCGGTTCCGGAAATTTCAATTATAATGTCACATCTCACATCCTAAAGTCCAGGTTCGCGTTCAAATACTTCGCCTTAGGTGTTGTAGCGTTTTAATATCAGTGATTTTGAAGATTATACGAGGTTCATAAAATTTTTAATGCTAGAAATAAATGCAAACTTACTGGTGTAATTCATAAATAGGCGGTAAGTTTCCAAATATAATTTTAAGTTCAGTGTTATTGAGCAGAGCTTGATTTTTGCCATTACTACTGTCCTCCTCGGCCATTTCTTCTAGGGGTTGTTTGAACATCTGAAACGAGGATATACTAGTTAAATACTCTTGCTGACAGCACAGTGAAAAAAAAATGTTAATTATTCTTACAGTAACTATCGTGTGTAAAATGCCAACATAATTCGACTCGGTCTGAAGTAATTCCATAAAGACTTGTTGTCGAGGAGACATAAGCTTCCGTACCACATTGTCGGGAACTTCTGTTTCTGAAAATACATAAATAATATCCAGCTATCAAAAACGCACCGAGAATAAAAATGTCATACATTTTATGTTTCGCAATCTGAAAAATTTTATACTTGATTACGTACAGTCTTTTCAGAGTAGATATTTACTCGAACATGAATAATACATTTTTCATGGATGTTGCATTTTCTGCAGTTACCGATTCTAAGTCACCGGCATTTGCAAAACAATAGCATAGTTATGATTTTTGAACATTTTGTTTCGTTTGACAATAGCGTACAAATGTGACGCAATGCGTACTGTTTTCGCAAACATTTAATGTTTGGTTTTCATAAAACATAATTTTGATGTAAATATAAGGACTAACCTTCAAGTAGCTGCTTGCCATCAGGCGAAGGTGTGCAGTCGAGCAGGTTTCCGGAGAGGCTAAGCAACACAGCGTCTCCGACAGAGGAACGACGCTTGTGCAGGGCGGAATCGCCGCCACGCAACTTCCGCTTGCGCAGGCGTTGCAGCTGCGCGGGCGTGCTGCCGGCCGTGCTCGCCACGGGCCCGGCATTTGATACGCTCTCTTCAGGCGCTCCCGTCGCCGCTGTCGCGCCTCCCACTGACGATCGCCGTGACATTTCATCCAAATACTACCAACAGCAAAACTTTATCAGACTTCTGTTTAAATGTTGTGGTTAGAAAATTCTAAAGAAAAAATATCCATTTACTTACGTCTTTGAATAGATAATCTCTCTCATCCTGGGCTTCTTCATTCTGTACAGAGGCCCAAAACCATTCAGCTTTGACAATGTGCACCCGCGATGAGCATTCGGGGGCCACCACTGTATTGTGCTCGTCAACCACCTGATGTGAAACGTTAATATCAGTATAAAATAAAAATTTGAGACGTATTACCATCACCGAAACACCTTATTATTACTCTTGAAGAAAAGAAGACAGAAAATAACCCACCCCTTCGTGCACAGCCTATGTAGATTCTTAATACTTGTCTGTTGTTAAAGCCGTTGGAGGCATGCAAGGCATATTATAGATCAGGGGAACTTTCACATCGATATAATCGCTTCTATTCTAGATGTCGCAAACATTTTCTACGGCATGACAAGCTTAAGACTATCATTTAGTAGTACTGAATTAAATGGGGTTAGTACCGGCAGCGATATTCCATGGCATTGCGATATGGCGCGGACGTCGCGGGTGGGGGGCGGCGAGGCGGGCGGCGGCGGCTCACGGCGCCGGCAAATGCTGGGGGATGGGACAGGGGACGGGCCGGAAAGCATACTGCCGCGCATCTCGGCGCCACCGCAAATCGAATGCCGATGACTACGAAGCCACACACTTTGAGGTGTCTTAAACACTACAGAATCATCTAACTCGTCCATCTCGACTGTGTTTCTCAAGGGAGTGGCGAGGCCTGTACTGTCCACGGTGTCTACTTGAACAGGTGAAATATCTAAATTCATTTCGTCCAGCTCTCGCTTAGGTGTAGAAACATTCTTTAGTTCTGGTGGTAGATGACATGCGTCCACCTGTACGGTGTTTCTGTCGGATCTTTTCTCATATTTCTTCTTTCTTTCGCTTCTAAAGGAAGCAGTGAAAGACTTGACGCTCCTACGGAGTTTCGATGCAGACTTCACAGTTTTTGAGCTGCGTATAGACGCAAAAGATATATCGAAAAAGCCCGATTGTTTACTTGTGTTCATTGAGCAAATCGATGTGTTGTCGTCGTCTCTGATAGGGGAAGAAGTGGATGCAATGAATTCACCCGCAGGGTCAGTGGGCTTGACCCTATCTGGACTCATTGGTTCTACTATAATAGCCCCTGTGCTTTTGGACACAGAATCTTTTTTGGTTCGCTTAAAAATTGTAGGTCTATTCTTAAACTTGAAAGAATCTTTTATTTTCAACCGTTTAATGGATTTCCAGTGGCTATCTTCGCCTTTATCCGGAGATAAATTAGAATCGAGCGAGTTGATTTGAAAATTAGAGTCCATCGAATTACGACTCCTTTTCTTCCCAGAGGAAATAGTAGTCGTCGATTGTTGCAACTCCTTACTGCCCGTAGAAGTGGGCATTAGAAAGCCTGGCTCGTCCTTCGAGTCCAGGTCACATAAACTTTTCGTCAATGACGAACGTAAAGAACCTGCCTCAGTGAGGCAATCAACTATATTAAAAACATTCATAGATTTATTTCTAAATACTTCTCTTTTATCTTTGACATTCATTTTCATAGCACTTTGTAAGATTTGAGAGACATTTTTATTTTCTTTGTCACATTTATAACTTTGTATCTCCACATGCTCAACGTGAGAGCTACTTTTATGTTTGTCATCGGTGGGACTCATGTCTTCCGCGAGCGAATTTTCTAAAATACTAATACTGAAGTTATCTGTTTGGTCTTTGGACGAAGTATGCTTATTTCTGACTTTGGTTCTGGCAACTTGAAGTCGCCGCTCTCTTTCGTCGCGGACCTGATCGTCGTTAGCATCAACATTATCTTTATTTGAGCTTGAGCGGCGGCCCGAGAGCCTTGCAGACAGTCTACGGTAGATAGAACTCTTGGGAGTTGACTGGGAGCGATTGGGAGTAACCCGGATCGGTTTTGCGGAACTGGGTGTACTAGGGTGAGGTGATAGGATAAGCGAACGACCGAAAGTCTCCCCATTGGCCATTACCTGAAACATGTGTGAACACACCACGCAATGATGTAATGAAGCCATTCCAATACAAACATGCACAACGATAATTATTATTATTATCGTGATAGAGGCAATTAGACACAGATAAGCGTTTGCTTAGAAAAGGCTGTGTTCTATTCTTGTCAGGTATTTTGACGTATATAATCAGTCAGTTTTTTTGAGCATTTACATAAGACTCCCTATATTAGTACGAATTCAAATTTTTGGCCGATTTGGTCTAAAGATAAAAAATATTGACGATTGATTTATAAAAGTTTACTAAAAAGTAATAGTGGATAGATTGCGTGATATCAAAACGTTGTAATAAGTACATCTTAAAAAGTGCACTTGTGCTAAAAGCTAATAAAGCTACATTCACGGACGTAAAACATTGGAATGTGACTGACTGGCTGAACATAAACAAACATTAGAACAATGTTATGACAACGGTCAATGTGAGTAATGATGACAAGCTGAAGAAGTGTGTAGCTACGTGAGGTAACAGGATTGATAACATCGGGTGATGAAGGCGGTGACGTTATGTACATGAAAACTAAATAGGTGAAAAAAACAATGGGTCGACTTTGCGCCGTGCGGAAGGGACGAATGGGAATGCGGCGTCGCCCGCAGAGCTTGTCGTCGTACGAAAATTGGGGGCAAAACTAGCGGCAGTGAAATAAAAAACCTTAGAAATAATGTACAAAGCAGATATCTAACTGGTTAGCAGGGAATGAATGAGATATTAACATCTTTTTATTTGCTTATGTAACTTCGAATGTTACCGACATTGAGCCGCCATGTGACGAGCACACGTCATGTTTACATGTAAACTTTAAGTAAACATTGTCTGACATTGGGACATATATTTCTAAAAGCGTTCTTCGTTTGAAATTAATACGAATGAACTACAAATAATAAAATAAACCAAATAGCTGATTATTAAAATGAACATTGTAGCAGAACGAAATAAGTGATTTGTGTTCCCAAGGATACTACATGCATGCTAATTTCATAATGCTAAATTAGTAACTAAATGTGCCATTGTACATAAATAAAAAAGTATGTGAAATATTCTAGTATAAACGACTGACGATACGTTTAAGGTAATGTTCTAGTATTAGAATTAATTATGAATTCCCAGATTCTGTGCGAACGTACAATTTTCATATAAAACTTTCGAACCTATTACTCAAGTTATTAATATTGACAGAGAATATACGGTACTCACCACGTGTGTGCAGTCTGGGTCATCGAGTGGACAAGTGCCCCCTCCATTGTTGACTAGGACGTCAGCCATGTGCTGCGTTTCGTCCTCAGGGAAGCCGACGAAGCACACCCTCGCACCAGCGAACACTTTTAACTTGTGCTGTTTCTGTAATACAACAATCTCCCTAAACAAATAATCATCAGGATTGAATCGTGCACCCTTCATTCAACTGAAAAGAAGCAGAACCATTTAATTGTTGAAATAAATCTCACTTGTTATGACGCGCTTAAAGACTACAGGGAAAGTTATGACTTATAATATTATAAACATGTTATTCAGATTTTATTCGTACTTTTACTTGTTACTGGTACATTCACACTTCCTATAGCGATGTTGGAATAAGATGACTATAAGAGCCTATGCACACAGCGTATTTTTATGCACGGACGACGAGCAGATGATGTGCGTTAATGTGATTTAAACGAGAAGCAGTCGCAGCCAGTAAACTTTTGAATACGTTTTATTGAGCCTCTACGGCGCCGTAAATGTCGTCTGCCCTTAAAAAATTCGCCGTGTGCTTAAAATTTAATTATTTACTGAAATCTCGTGATAACCTGGTCTTTCATAGCCTCACCACAAATAATTACGCCCGCTACAATATGCTTGTAAGTAATTGATGTCAAAGTATCAAAAGTACAGACGATCTAGTGCCCAGCGGGCAGTGCGAGGTCCACGGTAAAGTGTTTTTGGTCTGGTTCCAGGAACCCGCGGATTAAATTTCGTTCCAATGGTTTTCATAGTACCTACACAGGGAACTTCCTAATTTGTGAGTAAGCGTGATTGGCTTCCACAATCTTTTGGTATTCGCTAAAACGCCATACTCACAATAATAGTATCATCTGTAGCGAGACAGCTGGGGTCATCTCGTCGATCCCAGCACGCGTCGACCCACGAGCGGGCCAGCACGGGCAGACCAAAGCCCGACGCGTATCGGTACTTGTCACCAGTCGCCGCCGCCGCAATAAGGTGCGTCACTTTACTCGACATGTCTTTGCGGATCGATCCACCCATGTAGTGTATCAAAGTTATCAGGTACGTCTGTTGAAGATGAATTTTTTTTAACCAGTTCTACCCAACCAATGCCACTTACAAATCCATATGATATTTAAAACAGTTACTTGATTTTATAACTAAAATGGCATAATTGGCAAGAGTTAAATAAAATGAAAAATGTATTTAATGTTTGACAATTTTAGTATTTATCAAAACAACAACACTAGTTATTTAAATCACAATCTGCCAATACAATTGCATGATAGCATCGTGTTGTAAGCATTGATATTGTTCAGCTTCTAAGTTACTGAAAATAAACACAGGTGGTGATTCAGTGGTAATACTAACAAGTTCATCTTTTTTCCTGAAACCGGAAAAACAAATGACGGCGCCTCGCATGGCGAGAGAATATAGCGGCCGTGTGTTCGCCGGCGGCGGTTCATCGCGCTCCGCCAGCTGTAGTACTGCTGTAGGCCCCAACACCCTGCAACAATAATATATAATTAGGCTCAATTTATATTGCGGCGGAACGGAATAGAAGCGAATTTTTGTAACGATATTGTATATTGCATAATAAACTTTATGGTCAATTGTGTAACGTACAAACTAGATACGAGCCAAAATACTCGCGCGAATCAGCGTAATTGACTTTTTTTAAAGAAAAAAAGAACTTTGAGTGCCAATATCTGGCTATATATTGAAATGGCTAAGATAAATTTACAGGTCAATGTTACACAAACATAGTTCCTAAATATTCGCATTAGGAGTTTCGCCATTTGACCTAGCAACAAACACTATCGTAATTAAACAGTGGAAAATAATTTGAGACGACGACACAGTAAGTGTTGGGTTGGAGAACTGTGATGTGTGATTCTAAATTTTTTTAATGCACCAAGAATTTACAAAATGTAGAATCACCAACTCACACGTCTTACTTATACTATAACACCTCTTGATCTTGTTTTTTATAGACATCGAACGCCTTCATGGGATCAACTGGGGTTAGGGTACTACTAAAAGTCTCGGAAACAACAAAGGTTTATTTTTTAGGGAAATAAATTAGGCATTATCGCTGCCTTAATCTTGTGTCAAGGTAGGTTAGTAGGTAGGTACTGAAATAAAATTTCAGGAAAAAGATTTATGCAATTTCGAAGACTTCTAAGTCGTCTCATGTTTCTGTATTTAAATTCTTACAAAATTTTGCTTCAAAGGTTTTCTAATGATGCAATTTAAAATGTACATTTTATTTCTGCGACGGAAGGTAGCAAATATATCATACTTCTTGCGATTCTAAATGCCTAACCTAATGCAACAAGTATTTCCAAATGATTTACGTCCAAACAGTTTTCAAATGATTCAGTACCACGTCAACACTAGCTGAACGTACAAACGTTTGTTTAAAAGATCCGTTTTGTTTGTTTCATGTTTGCATGAGATGTTTTCGTCATACTTCCGGATGGAGTAAGGGAAACTTTTTTAAGTGTGTATTATGTGACTATTAATAAAAAAATGGTTGGATATCTTGTGGAAACAGACTGATGCGAAATTTACGTGTGCGTATACGTAAACATATGCGTTATTCATCAACACAGTTTTATACTTAAAATACAATTGCTTTTTGAAAGTTCCTTATTAAAACCTATCTACAACCGATTTCTTAGGGTTTCGCGATTGTTAAACATAGGAAATGAAACTATTTTTCCGGATTTAAATCGCGTATATTTGTTTTTTCAAACAAACCTACGTTTCGGGCCCTTTACAATTGACACAATTGACAGTCAGTCAACCGTGACCATGGGTCCGGATGACCGTCGGTTTGTTTGAAAAAACAAATATACGCGATTTAAATCCGGAAAAATAGTTTCATTTACTATCTACAACCTTCATATTTTTAAATTATAATATTAACATTTCAATTAAACAGAAAGCAAGGGACTCTATCGTGACACCCACATTGCTCTATGGTTATCAATCAAACGTTTATAACAAAAATAATAATAAACAATATCCAAATCTTCCACAGAGCGATGGAAAGAAACATGTTGCGCATAAAAATAAAAGACAGAATAACTAGTCCAGGTATTCGAAAGCAAACAAAGATAATAGCCGCGGCAAAAAAATGGCTTGTCGTCTGAAATGGCGACGGACTAGATATCTGGCAAGGTTCACAACAGATGGAGGAAGAGGGTGCTCCACTGGTAACCACGACTTAACCGTATGCCGCGACGAGCGACCCCACCGAAGGTGGCGGGCCTACATTACCCAGGTGGCGGGAGTAATGTGGACGCTACTAGCAGCGGACAGGGACTAGTGACACAGGATGGAGAAGGCCTACGCCCTGAGATGGGCTTTGCAATAAATATAAAATCTTATATTTAAATTTAAAACTTTAAATCTAAAATTTCGTTTAAATACAATTTAATTTTAATGTTGCATGCTTTTGTAAAAATGAAATTTGTTTTGTAAAAATTTTATTATTATGGAATACTTATTGTTATTACAACTACAATCTTCGGAAATATTTTAGTTAACAACCAATACAACTGTACTACTAAATGTAATTCAATAACTTATAAATAATAATAAGTCCATCTATTATTAAATGATAATGTTAAATAATTACAGTTAGATTTTTAAGAAGACGGAGATAAAAATTATTATGAACATGTTTAATTTTTATTTCTAAAAATTCAATAGTATCGGTATCAAGTAATTTGGGTACACGAAAGAAGCCTTCCCGTACCGCACCCTGGGCAACAATCAGCAAAAACTTTATGCCAAATGACAAATCCTTTCAGAACGATAGCAAACAAGTTCCGTAGTACTCTGCAAGACTATGGAACGTGTACTCAACAACCGTCTCCTATCGTACCTTGAAGACAACGATCTCCTCAGTCATCACCGGATTCCGACGAGGGCGATGTACTGGGGATCTTCTTGTGTATGCCTGTCACATACGGAGCGAGGCTATAGAAATGCAGGGCGAAGCACTTGCAGTATCTTTGGACATTTCTAAAGCCTTTGACAGGGTCTGGCACGCAAACCTTTTAAGTAAGCTTCCCTTTTATGGACTTCCCAATGACCTTTGTAATTGGATCTCGGATTTCTTGAGTGGTCCCTTGAGCTGACTCCGACTTTTCGTGATATATCCATACCGATAGCCGACTGTCTCTAGCTACTTAGAATGAACCTGTCATCCAAGTTGAACTTCGGCAGATACCACAGACATATATCTAGATAGACGCCGCAAGTACAGCAATTTGTATGAAAACCAAGCGTGCCACATTTTTTGTACACACTATGACGTCACAAGAGCTATTTAGTGATGGAAACCTCCTTCCGCTCGCTCTAAATCGATTGATTGAACGGAACACGCGTAAACATGCGTATTCCATTCAATTAATCGATTCTAAACAGAATAATTTTAGTTCAGTGTATTTATTGATTACAAGTAGTCGTAATAATAATATTGTAGAAACATACTACAATAACATAGTTAAGTCCTTTATTTTACTTGTTTTTAAAAAAAAGTTGATTACTTAAAAAAATTAAGACTTAATTTTTAATCGACTTCAAATATTGTAATTACTGTCTTTCCAATAAAATGAGCTTATTGTATAACATCTTTTTTAATAGAAGATCATATCGATTAAATTAAATAATGAATACGCACGTCAATATATGAACTTGCGACTCCTTTAATTAAGTTTACTAGACGGTTTTCTGTTGGTAATTGATCAAATTGATGAATACCAAGAAAATGTTACTGCTGACAAAATATGGTAAAATCTAATTAATCAGAGGAGGCTTACTTAATGACGGCCTCGTGTGAAATTTTGTAATTTGTTTATTATTTCTCGGATTTATAACTCTGCTACTCTGCATATTTGGATAGCATCTTAGGTGGAATAAACTAGACCACCATCGTTTTCGAAAGCAATGAACTCATACATATGACCAACTCCAGGTTTTTGTAAAGACAGCGCGCTGTTAATTCTTTGCATTATATATTTTTTTGTATTACTCATACTACATATCCGGCGATGTATTTAATTATTTGCTCACTATATTCGGACATTCGAAGCAACGTGTTGCAAAAATTATCGAATTAACAGATACTACTGATAATAGACACTACAAAACTAAAAAAAAAAACGAACCGTTACTAAACGTTATAACAAAAGAGTTATAGAATATTTTACATAATATTTGCTAAGGTCATAATAATTTCCGTCCCTCTGTTTTTAAAATGATCCGAATCGAGAACAGTGTTGCCTAACGTATACACCACTAAATGTTAAATTTGGCCAAAGAAATGTATATTCATGGCGTATTAACAAAGGATCACAAATATATCGCACCATGTAAAAGCCGCAATGTATTACAAATCATGAGACATACACTCGGTTGCATATTTGTTTCTTCGAAATTCGTACAAAACCAAAATAATTGTTTTTAAAATAAATTATGCATCTTCTGATTACAAAATCACTTGCCCGTGGAAGGAAACGTCCATGTTTACCCTTTTACCAACAGTTATGGTGCTTTTGCAGTTTATAATGGCACAATTATGCATTTTTCACCTGGTGTTTCAACTGGTGTTTATCCATGATAACGTCCGAGCGCGTTCTGAAGAGTAGCAGCGGCAAGTAAGTGAATTTCACTTACTTTGGGCACGCGAAGTACGTACACTTGCGCCGTCTATCTAGATATACGTCTGTGGCAGATACATTGAATCCGTGGCCAAAAATGCAGCATGGAAGCTTGGGACCCTTTCCAAGGTGAGGCGTTACTTTTTGCTTCAGCTGTACTAAGCACAAGTCCGGGAGTACTGCTGCCACTTATGGGATGGCTCTGCTACATATCAACTGGCTACTTTGGATTCAATTGACAACCGTGCCAAGAGGCTTAAAACACCACCGTAAAGTTGCCTGCTTATCGGTATTTTACAGGATATATCACGGAGAGTGTGCGATGGAATTACACGATTTAATTCCGCCTTCTGTGATGACAGGGGGACTAGGCGTAGGCTTGGGTTCCAACCAAATGTTGTAGATATTCCAAAGATTTGCGCGAAGCGTTACGCTTCCACGATTATATGGCGAACGGCTATGGAGTAGAATTCCCTGCCTGCAGACTTGTTCCCTGAACGTAATAACTTGGGTGTTTTCAAGGCAACAGTGAATAGACATAATTTAGGTGTGCATGCTCGATAGTCGACCTCATCGTCACTTTCCATCAGGTGAGATGGAGGTCAAATACGCACTTATATTTTATAAAAAAATAAATAGTTCTAGGCTGCAAGTATATACGATACGATACGATAAGTAGGTAATTGCGTATCCCTAATGTCCCTGTATCTGCACTCCAATCCAAGTGTGAACATTTGCTGGCATCTAAAAACGACGTAACATCTTGAATGTGATGGCATTGTAAACATAAAATGGATTAACGGAGATTGTTTGCAGATTGCATATTATGAGT